TGGAGAGATGGTTATGCATCACCGAGTAAGCTTTAGATAGTCATTTTGCATGGATCTTTATACTCTTATTTATAGAACATAAAGTCTCTGGGGTTTTTGTTTTGTTTCTTTGCTTTATAAAAGGTGTACTGAAAGAACACAGTTAAAATGTTTTAAAGGCAAGACAGATTAGTTGGCATAAAAATGTGTCTTTAGGCTCCATTTCAGAAAGTCTTCTCAATCAATGACCTGTCGACTCAGTTCTTTATTGGGGTTTGCATAATGTTAAAAACCTCTTAAAATAAATATTATCTGAAAATACATAAAAACATTATTAAGCAGCCCACCAAGTAAAATGTAACTGGCTGCATGCTCTGTACAAGAGCCTGAAAAAGCAGCTTAGTTGTTGATTCTAAAAGCAGTCCTACAAAATGCCAATGTGGAAAATTTCATTTAAAATTTTCTTGTGTAATAAATTACTATAAATAGATTTGACTACGTGGTGCTGAAGAAAAACACCATAGAGACCCTCTGCATCCTAGTCTTGCAAATCCACATTTCAGAGTGGCATTTCTCTTTTTAATGCCAATCTTCCTCTTCCCAATAAAGAGTGTGCCCTAATACACAAGCACTTTTACAAGGAAGGACTGTAGAAAGCAGAACTTCAGCATCTAACTTTAAGTGTATAAACGATCAGGTGTTTGTTAAATGTACACTGGGTTAAGTGTAGCTTTATTAGGTCCTTGAGGGCAGTTAGGATTACATTTCACAGTGCTATTTAGAGTTCTGTACCTCTGTCAAATCTGGTATATTCAACTTCAGCCAGGATGGACTATTAGTGGCTGAATGAAACTCCACAAAATACTGGTTTATATCTAAAACTTGGGACAAATGCTTCGCTGATACAGTAATCAGAGGCACCATTCTGAAACAATTACTCTCTCAAGTAATTTTTTTTCCTTCAACTAAAATGCAGAACTCTTCAAATCAATAAACTAATAATTTAGACAACTTAAAAAAACTGTCCAGAGGTGGTCATGAATTTACAAATGAAATTTACAAGGTATACATTTTAAATAGGAAAGATTTTTGTCCTATATGTCATCTAGTCCTTGAATAAAAGTATACATTTTAGGATTATTTTAATGGAAACATTTTAAAGTAATTATTTTCTGTAGTTTAAAATAAGGTATAACTAAATTTTCTTTAAATGAAATAATATTTGAGAAGTTAGCAAACCCTGTCCAATAAAATGCCAATTCATATAAAATATTTTTTGGCATATATCTTCTTCAATTGTACATAACACAGACAGAAACCAAAAAAGCAGAGAAAGCAAAAAGAGAAAATATTTTCTTCAGTGGACACTATTTCATTATGAAAACTTCATTTTAAGGGCTGTATTCAGTAGAAATGGAATGCTGCCACGCCTTCTGAAATAATGGATTGTAAGGTTTTCCTCTGTTGCCTCAAAAACCTTTTGAAAAGTCAGGGCTCTGAGCTCAAGTTGTCAAAGTAAATGACCATGAAGACAATCCTGATGGTGACTCTTACAGATGCTGTGAACGGTTTCCAATTGTTACAAACACAACTGCTCATAAACTTTGGGAAGTCACCCTCTGGGTTTCTTAAGGGAATTTCCTCTGGAGGGCAGGTCACAGGTCACAAGGTTCCCTAATGATGGGGCCTGACGAATACCCAGGTCTCCTCCCAGGACAATCAGTGCTTTGGTTCAGGTTACCTCCATTTTTCATTTATATATGTATATGTACATATATATACACACACACATATATATAAAAGTTTAACTTCTCTATTTTATTTTTGGCCATGCCACACAGCATGCAGGATCTTTAGTTCTCCAACCACGGATCAGACCCGTGCCCCCTGCATTGGAAGCTCGGCATCCTAACCATTGAACCACCATCCCTTACCTTCATATTTAAAAATCATTCTTTAATACTGCGATTTTTTTCCCCTCAAACCTGGTATCTGTGGAAATCCTGTATGTCAATTTCACATAGTGGGAATCAATTAACAAAAATACTTTTTAATCAAAAGTATGGTGGAGGCATAAGTGGTGGCTGGACATTTTGGAAGCCAAACAAACCTTCTCTATTATACTGGGTATTTTAGAAGCTAAATAAATTTCTTCAATTACCCTGAGCTCCGATTAAAAATGTTTATTTTAAAAACTAAGAAAAAGCTAGTTGTAAGTGGTGGCAGGTGAGATACATCAAAATAAATTAACTGCTATGGTTTCAAAAAATAAAACCACGGGAAAAAGAATTATTTTGTTCATTTTTTCCCTGAGTAGTAAAATAATAACCAAAAATATAACTGGAGTGGTTTCATGATAATTGAAGAATGAAGAAATAATATAAATATGAACTGAATCCTGTTGATTAAAAAAGCAATCATATATTACAATGAATCCCTTTAACATAGTAGAGCTATACCAGTTTTCAATTCTTCTACCATAATTAGAAGTAAAGTATTAAACCTTACAACACTTCAAGTAGATATATTCAATTTACAGAGCACAAAAAGTCTCTTCTTAAGGAGGAAGGTCAAGCTGAGAATACGAATTCTTTAGTTTGTCTTCTAGATTGCATACTTAACAATCAAAATTTCGCCAAAATTAAAGAAAAGCTATTCAAAAACCCATGTCGTACAGAAACAAAAATCTAGATAATCCAGGGGGATGGAAATCAGTTGGACTGTATATATATATATGATGTAGTATCTTCAAAGTAATTGGAAAATTCATCAGTCACCTTGCTTTCTAGATGGTAGTGCTATGATAACATTCACTGAGCAAAAAAAAACAGCTAAGAGTGATATTAAATTTACAGGCTGAGAAATAAAATATAATCAGATAACAGAACTAAATCATGATTATTTGTTAATGACTAGGCAGGCTGAACAAAAAGATCTTTTATTACCCTTTCTTGTTTTCATTTATGACATGCCTAGACTTGTCTTTTAATCTCTAAATTTGTTTAATTTTTCTTAATAGTGATCAGATTCTCTGCAGCATTTAATGGAGGAGGCATGGTATGGGGTTGGGGGAGCAGATACTTTCCATGATTACTCTTTTCCAGCCTCTCACATTCTACAGTTCACCTAAATCCAAGTGTGTGGGAAAACAGAAAATTTATTTAGCCATCCATCCTTTCCCAGGAGGTAACAGGGCATGGCTAACTAACCTTATCAGGTGGGGGCAAAAAATTACCTTTAGAAAAATAAAAACATTTCATATCAACAAAGACAAGGTTATTGCTAAAGTTCTGGGAAGGTGTTTTTGCTGATTAGACCTCAGAAGTTCCAAGCACATTTCCTTTTCCTTTAGTCTTAAAATGAAATACTACACAGCTTAAGCCAAAGAGTTGTTCTGTTGTTAACTTTCATTTGCAAATTTATTAATGACGGAAAAAAAAAGAGACTCATCATAGATAGGCAATTTGCATTTAAATTTAAAAATTTAAGGCAAAAAAGAAAATAAATTCCACAAAAGAAGGATCACAGAAAAGTGAAGTCAGAAGACCCTGCCCATCCTCTCCCTGTTGGCCCATTACTCATCACCCGGGGCCACCGGAACCCTGATACCAAGCTGGCACCATAACCCTCTCTGCTTTCACTACTGCAGCATCATAAGACTGTGGGATCAAAGGAGGAACGAGCCACTGAAGGCGAAGTGAATTATGGTGAAAATGGCCTGTAAGATAAAAAGCACACTTTCTGCTTCAAGAATCTGAAACTCATTAACGAGAGTTAACGGTAAAACTTTCACTGGAGAAGTTAAAAGAGTTTGGAAAATAATTTATATTGTTCTCTACAAGGGGGGCTCAGACCAAATGACTTTTAAGTTTCCATTTTCCTAAAACGTAACCAAATATGAATTCAACTGTTCAAGGATTTAAAAAGTGATTCACTAGACAGTAATTTCACTCAATGATGTCTCTTTCAAAGCCTTCAAGCAATCTCCCGCTATTACTTTCATTATCCTTTTATAACTTTATATAACTTATGTCTGATACATTTCTTAAAAATTCAACGTGATTATAAAGTTATTGAACTTTTATGTCTTACAGGATCACAAAGAACTCAGGTAAAGAGGGGTGAAGAGCACTTCCACTGAGCCTTGGACCCCTGCCACATGCAGGTGTGTGTATGCACACAGATGCTATGGGCCGGGTGCAGCGCTTCATTCGTGCCTACCTTCTCATTTTTGTCATCTTCTCTCTTTTTTGAAGAAGAAGAATAAGCTTAAAATATCACACCACCAACCTTTCATTATGTTTAAGTAGTCCTTCCTTGAGGGTTCTCTGTCTGACACAGGGTGATCAAATTCTCCAGGAAAATAAACTACCTACAATTTGGCATCCGCCACTGCTTACACTTCTACTACATACTGTAATCATCTGAGAAACTTTAGGAAAACCCTTCAAATACTGCGATGTTTATTGCATTTTAAAGTATCCACAATCTTAAATAATCCTGTTCAAATTCTTCTGGAATTCCTGTGCAGCACACAATATCAAATAGTGAAAGAATGTTCACACAGTGCCACACTTGAAAATACGTGCCACACTTGAAAATACCATTTAGGAAACAACAGTTTAGGAAATAGAGGGTTTAAGGCAAGACATTCATTTGGAGAAGTTAATTTTTCTCAGTCATCCAGAGTGACATGATTATTTTTCCCTCTCTTCAGTGCCTTGGGACATACAGCGTACATTCAGCAACAGGGCACACATATGACTCTATGGACATATGCTGAGGTCCTGAGTGCCCATTGAAATAATGGAAATATTTTTTGATAAGGCGTGGCCCACCAGGACATGGCATGGGAGGGGTATTTCGCTCCATTTCCAAGCTGGTATACAGGGAATTCCCTACCTAAAACCGGCCGATTTCCCCCCATGTGATCTCTTCCCCAACAGACACAGACCCCTTGAAAGGTGCTAAGATTGGTTCCCCTTAACATACAGAAAATAGCCATCAGAGTGCTTTCCTCATCATTGCTTTAATGATGAATGTCTAGAAGCTATTTCTTGATTCTGATTGCAAACATTGTTTGTTGTGAAAAAACTATTCTGTCCCAAAGAATTTTCTCTTTCATCAAACTTTTTGGATCGTGACAGCTGAACGTTTTCATGTGTACTCTTTCCTTTTTGTTTTTTTTTCACTGGCAACAACAATAATACTAAGATACCAGCAAAGTGAAGGCTGTAATACCAGGAGCTAAAAGAAAAAAAAGGAAAAGTTTACTTTATTAGATTCTGATAACTAACAGGACCTAATTTGACATCTATCACAACTGTCCCAAGCCCCTTAGGATGTGTATATTTATTACATTATTCTAGAAGAACAATCCCCCTTAGATGAAACTCGAATCATATATGCCTGTGGGTATTTATAAAGCATTGTATAAACCTAGGCCAATTACAAGCATGATACTAGACATCATATTACATTCCTTTCTAAGGGTCCTCAGGCCAGAACTAAATAAAACAAAAATAAAAATTTACTTATTAATAGCTGCAGAGATCTGAAAATATCTCTCAAATCTGCAGAGTCAAATATTGAGTAAAGAATAGGGGTGGTAAAGACACAGTAAAAGCCCTGCCTGCTACATACTGTCCCTAATTAAGTTACAAGTATTCCAGTGATGTCATATTGTTGTTGTGAAAGTTGCTCAGTCGGGTCAGGCTTTTTGTGACCCCATGGACTATATAGTCTGTGGAATTCTCCAGGCCAGAATACTGGAATGGGTAGCCTTTTCTTCTCCAGGGGATCTTCCCAACCCAGGGATTGAACCCAGGTCTCCCACATTGTGGGCAGAATCTTTACCAGCTGAGCCACAAGGGAAGCCCAAGAATACTGGAGTGGGTAGCCTTCTCCAGTGGATCTTCCTAACCCAGGAATCAAACCAGGGTCTCCTGCATTGCACGCGGATTCTTTACCAACTGAGCTATCAGGGAAGCCCTAACTGATAAGCAATATAGCTTCTTGATGGTTACTGTCACAAAATAAAGGTCACATTATTAAAAATATTATTAGAAGTATCACTCCTCAAATTAAATATAAACCAATGTGACCTACTGCTTCCATAGCTGTAAATCTCAATGTTCCTGAGACAGAATATCCAATAAATAGCTCAATCACATTTAAATATATGTAATAATTCTGCTAAAATGGAAACTTTACCAGGAGTTACTTATGTCTTCCTGTATGACTCTTTATCATATTCAATTCAATAATTCTTTGACCATATACTCTTGCTGTCATTCTAAATGCTAGGGTAATAAAGAGTTTATGAAAGAATAAAGCTTTTGATCTCAGCAGATCACTATCTAATATGGCGGAGGGGAATTTGGTGGGTGAGGAAGAGAAGATAAATAGATAAAATATGGAATTCAAAATAATAATTTCTATCATGTAGAGATGACAATAATTCCTCTAGAGAAGGAAATGGCAACCCACTCCATTATTCCTGCCTGGGAAATCCCATGAACAAAGAAGTCTGATGGGCTACAGCCCATGGGATGACAGAGACAGGCACAACCGAGCGACTAAACAACATTAACAACAAGAGCTGACAATGTACCAATGAACTGTAAGAGTGAAAAGGGAACACATAGTGAAACTTAAGTAATTGATTATCTTTTGATTGAAGAAATTAAGAGAATTAATAATTTGTTATAAAGAACAAGCTATACTTTTTCAACTACTTCATCATATTCTTTTTTTTTTTATCATCATATTCTTTATTGTTCATCTTCTATAGGTTTTCCTTTTCTTTTGAAGTTAGCAGTCTGACAGCCTAAACTCATGGTCCATGGACTTTATTAATAGCTTCTGGTGACTATCAGAGGATATACTGTCTTGGCCAAAAAAGTCCATTTGAAAAACCTGAATGAACTTTTTGACCAACCCAGTATTTACTTCCGCCCCTAAAATATCTCCAGTGACTCGTAGGCACGTGCTGTAACATACAAACCCCCAAACCTTGGCTCTCAAGCAGGGGGCTCTCACCACCCTTGGCTCTCAAGTGGGGACGCGCAACCTTGGCCCGTGGGCCAAAGTTAGCCTGGTATCTCTCTCTTTCTGTTAAATTGAGAAATAACTGACAAGTAACACTATTAGCTTCAGGTGTGCAACACAATGATTCGCTCTGTTTTATGTCATGAAATGATCGCCACAACCATGTCGTTCATGTCCAAGTGTAGAAAGAAGAGCTCCACTTTCCAGTGAAACTTATGAGAGATCTGAAGCAGCAAGTACCCAGGTGATAGTCCTCGAGGTCACACTCTCATCTCAAGTCTGAACGGTGTTAATCATTCCATAAATAAACTTGAGACGGCTAGGTTTAAGATGTAAAAGTAAGTGACAAGGCACTTAACTGCAGGAAATAAGTTGGGTTCTATTTTTCTATTCTACCTAAAAGCAAGAAACTTTCCTAAATTTCAAAATATGATACAAATGAACTTATTGATATTTACAAAACAGGAATCAACTCACAAACACAGAAAGCAAACCTATGGTTGATTACCTAAGGGAAAAGGGTACAGGGGAGAAATAAATTAGGAAGCTGGAATGAAAATATAGATACTATTATGTATAAAATAGATAACCAATAGGGACCTCCTATATAGCACAGGTAACTATACTCAATATCTTGTAATAACCTATAATGGAAAACATACTCAATATCTTGCAATAACCTATAATGGAAAACAATCTTAAAAAGTGTGTGTGTATATATATATATATATATATATATATATATATACACACACACCCCTATATATTCATGAAAGCCTTTGGTATACATCTGAAACTAACACAAATTGTAAATCAACTATATTTCAATAAAATTTTTTTACAAATTTCCAATGGCACATTTGTTAAGAGTTAACACTTACCTGTAAAACATGAGTGAAGGTTTTACAGAAAGAAGGACAAATGGCACAACTGTGTAACTTATTGCTATCTGAGTCGCTATCCATGTTATAACATCGTACAAAAATTTCAGCTGGGGAGGTTCGATGAAATAATGTCTAAAGTTATTTCTCACCTGAAATAAACAGAAATATTCATCTTTAACAATGCTTATGGAATCATACCAACTTCATCAACTGTTTCAAAGATGTGGAATAGATGAAATTCTCATACACTGCTGCTGGGCATCTAAAATGGTACTGTTACTATGGGCAAAGCTGGTTCAGAGAAAAGTAATACACCTATCAATAGGTCTAAAACTATGCAAAGAGCATGGTGACACATGGGGGCAAAATGCGTGAATCTGGGTGAAGAGCACAGAGGAGCTTCTTTGCAACTTTTCCGTGGATTTGAAATTGCATCAAAATTAAAAGCTGCCCCCCAAAGTTAACAATTGCTTGCTGCTGCTGCTAAGTCGCTTCAGTCATGTCTGACTCTGTGTGACCCCACAGACTCCCCCGACCCTGGGATTCTCCAGGCAAGAACACCGGAGTGGGCTGCCATCAGAGCTCCTGAAACGCTGCCGTGTAACCTGCAGAACTGGCACACCTGGCTTTCACGTGTTTCACTTTGCTGTGCCTTCCTCTCAGATGAACCAAGTGTGGGTGGGGCCCACCTGCCTCACTCAACACACGTGCCAGGCGCACCCACTGGAGCTCAGGGCTGGCCCGGCCAAAGCAGCCAGGCTGCTCAGTGCGTGGGCAGCCTCCGCCCCCAGTCCATGTGACTGGCCCTGCAGGATGAGAAGGCGGCCCCCATACTCACAGCTCGTGCCGCCAGCGTCATCAGCACTCCGGTGAGAAAGGTCAGGTAATAGCCCGGGTACACCCCATGCCAGATGGCAGAGAGGAAGAAGGTCTGGGTGGTGGGACTCAAGGAGGCACGCTCGTAACACACCCTGGAAACCACGACACACGTGAGTGATAAGAAGCCTGTCAAGCCTACGACCATCATTCTTTCAGTCCCAGTCAGGATTTAGGAAAACCACCACAACTTAGCTTGGCCATTAGCCTCAGGGAGGTTGGTTTATAAAAAGACTTCTCATTTCTGTCTTCTTACTGGTATCACCAAAATGATCATTCCTCGTGTATGGGGAGTCTATACTATGTACAGAAAAACTTTAATAAATATAAAAGTTACTCTTATTTTACATTATTTTATTATTTTCTTCACTAACATTTAGGACTTTCAATTGATCTAACAGTACTCTACTGGGAACCAGGCTGTGCTTAAAAGTCTTCCTGTCACAGATGGAGAACGTACATGAAAATGAGATTTTCCTAAGGTAAGAAATTTAAAATATAACAACAAAAATAAAATAACAATTAGCTCAGAAAATGTGCAGCCAGGCACCATGAAGTGACGAGAGTATATTTTGGGTATTTCAAGAGGTAAAGGTCATTATTTGTCATAAGTAAAGGGCATTACAGAGAATGGTGCTTAAAGTCCCCCTATCACAGGAGCAGTGTTGTATGAAATAAACTCAAAACCTGGTAGTACCCCATCGGGGACAAGGAGACAGGACCCCTGGGAGTTTCTGTGCACTGTCCTAAATTTGCCTTCTGTAATCAGTCCTCTGTCTTCCCCCTGTGCTCGTGACAACCTCCTCTTTATGATTCTTAACTCAAGTGCCTCTTCTCCCCACCCCTGTGGCTGCATGCCTCCTGACCTCTCATCGTCCTCCTCACTACAAGGACCAGCATGTGGAGATTACTCTGCCGTGTTTCTAACAAGACCTTGAACTCCAACTGCAGAGGTTCAGTCTTCAGATCCTGCACCCAATATATAAAGGTCTATTGTACTGGAATATTTTAACTACTGTGGAAAATCTAATGCATACATATGGTGGCTATGTAGTCACTTTTGTTTGGTCAAATCTCCCATGAAATGAGGGATGTACTGGCGATTTCAGACCTTGATGGGCACCTTTCAAGGCAAGTGGAGAGGTCTGTGGTAGCTACATTAGGACTTAAGGCTAAACAGTTCTCAGGCTTGCTACCACACTGCTTTGGAGGTCAGTAAGTGTGTTTCCTGGTTAACACAAAGTCATAGCGTTCATTTAATTCAATCTAATCAAGAATGTGAACCCTGTGAAGCTCAGTCTCAAGACCCAGAGGCCAAAGCACAGCTGAAGACGGTTCTGGAAGGAGCTTACCTTTTGAGCCAAAGAGCTGTCTGAATATTCCAATTATCGAGAAACATCTTGAAACTTGTTGACATCTGAAAAACAGAGGAACTTTTTTCTTTGGCGGACAAAACAATGCAGCTTTAAAAGGTAAGCAACATTTTACTGGGCTAAGAGTACACACTTGACACTGACGATGGGGTACGGTCTCTTTCCTAAATACTGCTTTCTCATGGAGTAACATCATTCTACGAAAAAAGTTTACTGTGGGGAACACCCGTAGAGTGAAAGAGTGAGCATTATTGTTACAAATCTTTCAGCACCATTCTTGGAACATTATGCTGTAATCTACGAAAGCAAGTTATGCCACTTAAGAATCCTACGGTGACTGACTGCTTGATGAGGCACTAACCTCTATTTGCTTGATCCTCAGATTGGAAATTAGGTCCCAATGGGCGGCTCCATTTTTGTCATAACCTCTGAATCCAAAGCCCGCTGCATTGTTGATGGCGTCGGCTGCAGGACACAACGGAAAAGGAAGCGTTACGAACCTATGTAACAAACTGCCATGCTGCCCCAGGAGACATATGTTATCATAGACTATGCCCTTTAACTCTTAAGTAAAGTGGATTTACTCTCATTTTTATCCAATATTGTAATAAAATGGGCCTTGATCCAGCTTTTAGGATCTAACAGTTTTTAGGGCTTCCCTGGTGGCTCAGATGGTAAAGAATCTCCCTGCAACGTGGGAGACCTGGGTTCTGATCCCTGGGTCGGGAAGATCGCCTGGAGAAGGGAATAGCTATCCAGTATTCTTGCCTGGGAAATCTCATGGAAAGAGGAGCCTGGTGGGGCTACAGTCCATGGGGTCGCCAAGAGTCGGACACAACTGAGTGACCAATACTTTTCAACAGTTTTCAGGATCAGTCCTTATACACAGGACATGAACTGTGAGGTCTGTTTCTCCTGTACAGATGACCCTAGTTTTTCTCATCGGTCCTGAACTACACATCCTCAAGAGGGCACCCTCCTGGCTACTGACATGTCCAATGCTAATGCAAAGCCTGTTCACACGTTACTTACCTAATGTCCATGCAAAATAGTACTTGGGTCTGGCAGCCAAAAGAGAGACGTAGAGATAGATCACCTTTGTCGGCCACGAAGCTGTGGCCTGAAAATGCTCATCAATGTTGTACTCCACGGGTAACATCTTAGAGATGGTCAAGTGGAACAGTAAGGAAAGTCCACAGACTAAGAGTTTCTGAATAACTGCGACCTGAAAGCAAGACAAGTCATCATAAACCTCATCCATACTTCTTTTACTTCCTTCCATGTATTATCGCCAGATGATTCACTCCGAATATAGTTATTAACCCTGTATAACTCAGTCAAAAGTCCTGAACTCTGTCATGCTCAGCATTTAAAGCCTTCACTCACAGTTTGAATACGCAAAGCCTTGTGTCTACCTCTGGGCCATGGCTCAAACCACACCAGAAACCCCAATTTGTATTCGCAGGACTTTCAATAATTAAAAAAAATAATAATAATCTAAAAGCAAACACAGGTATATATGATGACTATGTAAAAATATTACCATTAATAAGTTTGGGTAGAGATTCCCTCCCCCCCCGCCGTTTTATTTATTTATTTTTACTTTACAATATTGTATTGGTTTTGCCATACACTGACTTGAATCCACCATGGGTGTACATGTGTTCCCCATCCCACCTTCCTCCCCATCCCATCCCTCTGGGTTATCCCAGTGCACCAGCCCTGAGCACCCTTTCTCATACATCGAGCCTGGACTGGCGATTTGGTTCACATATGATAATTTACATGTTTCAATGCCATTCTCCCATATCACCCCACTCTTGCCCTTTCCCATTGAGTCCAAAAGACTGTTCTATACATCTGTGTCTCTTTTGCTGCCTCACATACAGGGTTATCATTATCATCTTTCTAAATTCCATACATATGCATTAGTATACTGTACTGGTGTTTTTTTTTCTGGCTTACTTCACTCTGTATAACAGGCTCCAGTTTCATCTACCTCATTAAAACTGATTCAAATGTATTCTTTTTAATGGCTGAGTAATATTCCATTGTGTATATGTACCACAGCTTTCTTATCCATTCGTCTGCTGATGGACATCTAGGTTACTTCCATGTCCTGGCTATTATAAACAGTGCTAGGATGAATATTGGGGTACACATGTCTCTTTCAATTCTGGTTTCTCGGTGTGTATGCCCAGCAGTGGAATTGCTGGGTCATGTGGCAGTTCTATTTCCAGTTCTTTAAGAAATCTCCACACTGTTCTCCATAGTGGCTGTACTAGTTTGCATTCCCACCAACAGTGTAAAGAGGGTTCCCTTTTCTCCACACCCTCTCCAGCATTTATTGCTTGTAGACTTTTGGATAGCAGCCATTCTGACTGGCATGAAACGGTATCTCACTGTGGTTTTGATTTGCATTTCTCTGATAATGACTGATGTTGAGCATCTTTTCACATGAAAAGATGTTAGCCATCTGTATGTCTTCTTTGGAGAAATGTCTGTTTGGTTCTTTAGCCCACTTTTTGATTGGGTCGTTTATTTTTCTGGAATTGAGTTGCAGGAGTTGCTTCTATATTTTTGAGATTTTCCTTTGTCCACTGCTTCATTTGCTATTATTTTCTCCCAATCTGAGGGCTGTCTTTTCACCTTGCTTATAGTTTCCTTTGTTGTGCAGAAGATTTTAATTTTAATTAGGTCCCATTTGTTTATTTTTGCTTTTATTTCCAATATTCTGGGAGGTGGGTCATAGAGGATCCTGCAGTAGTTTATGTCAGAGTGGATAGAGATTTTTATATTATCACACACATACACGGTTTATTTTTTTCACTGTGCCTTTTCCCTAGTTTCCAAGTTCTAGGTACTTCATGGAAACTATTTTTACAATAAACAACTTTTACATTTCTTTAAACCTGAAAGTTCTTTTATGCAATTTTGTTCAAGATGATAGAACTAAAAGAGCAATACAACAAAGAAAACAAAAGATCTATACAAAAGATTCTGATGGAAAGAAAAGGCTGACCTTTATTTTTTTCTGGTAAGGTTAAATTACCTCGACAGAACCCAACTCATGGCGTTTTTGTGTTTTCAGGAGGCCAGACTATTTCAATCTGATTCTATATAAAGGAGATTCTACAGGCTACAGAGGAAAAGAAAGTAGACAAAAGAAGAGGCCAGATCCAGATAAAAGAATGAAACAAAATACTTGGATTAGTGTCCCACATAGGGATCAAATAATATTCCAATTAACTGCAATAATTTGCAGATAAACACTTATTTAACACTTTCTGTAAGAGGGCCAAAAGAAAGGCTCAAAGGCAAGAGTGAGAGCACGTGCCAGATTCCTGAACCTTATTCTTGCACAAAAAAAGCTTTATTCATTCTCGGGCTACTCTTATCAGGAGATGCTGGACGGTCAAGGGCTCTTTGCTGCAGCTGTTCTTATTCTCATTTTCCTGGTCGTCTTTCAAAGCTTTCTCTAGGAAAGTAAGGCTACCTTTCCTTCACCCTCCACCTCCAAAATACCTAAGCTACACATCTGAATAGAAAGAGATTTGCAGCAGGTAATTAGAGAAAAATTACAATCATAAATGAAGTGAGATGAACCAAATGACCTCACACACAAACCTAAATATTGGATATATCCTTTTAGTAACATATTCAGAAATACCATGGCCCTTAGACTACACACCCTAGTTTCTAGGTCTCAGTTTAAAAACAGTTAACGTAACAGAAGTTGTTGCATGCCCGTGCTCAGTCACGACTGACTCTTTGCAACCCCATGGACTGTGGCCCACCGGGCTCCTCTGTCCATGGGATTTTCCAGCAAGAGTGCTGGAGTGGGTTGCCACTTCCTGCTTCAGGGGATCTTCCTGACCCAGGCACTGAACCCACGTCACCTGCATTGGCAGGCATGTTCTTTACCACTGAGCCACCTGGAAAACCCTAAAGTAACATCAGATCAGTTCAGTTCAGTCGTGTCTGACTCTTTGCGACCCCATGAATTGCAGCATGCCAGACCTCCCTGTCCATCACCAACTCCCAGAGTTTACTCAAACCCATGTCCATTGAGTCAGTGATGCCATCCAACCATCTTATCCTCTGTCTTCCCCTTCTCCTTCTGCCCCCAATCCCTCCCAGCATCAGGGTTTTTTCCAGTGAGTCAACTCTTCACATCAGGTGGCCAAAGTACTGGAGTTTCAGCTTCAGCGTCAGCCCTTCCAATGAACACCCAGGACTGATCACCTTTAGGATGGACTGGTTGGATCTCCTTGCAGTCCAAGGGACTCTCAGGAGTCTTCTCCAACACCACAGTTCAAAAGCATCAATTTTTTGGCGCTCAGCTTTCTTTATAGTCCAACTCTCACATCCATACATGACCACTGGAAAAACCATGGCCTTGACCAGACAGACCTTTGTTAGCAAAGTAATGTCTCTGCTTTTTAATATGCTATCTAGGTTGGTCATAACTTTCCTTCCAAGGAGTAAGAGTCTTTTAATTTCATGGCTGTAATCATCATCTGCAGTGATTTTGGAGCCCAAAAATATAAAGTCTGACACTGTTTCCACTGTTTCCCCATTTATTTCCCAGGAAGTGATGGGACCAGATGCCATGATCTTAGTTTTCTGAATGTCAAGCTTTAAGCCAAGTTTTTTACTCTCCTCTTTCACTTTCATCAAGAGGCTCTTTAGTTCATCTTCACTTTCTGCCATAAGGGTGGTGTCATCTGCATATCTGAGGTTATTGATATTTCTCCCAGCAATCTTAATTCCAGCTTGTGCTTCTTTCAGCCCAGCACTTCTCATGATATACTCTGCATAGAAGTTAAATAAGCAGGGTGACAATATACAGCCTTGACATACTCCTTTTCCTATTTGGAACCAGTCTGTTGTTCCATGTCCAGTTCTAACTGTTGCTTCCTGACCTGCATACAGGTTTCTCAAGAGGCAGGTCAGGTGGTCTGGTATTCCCATCTCTTTCAGAATTTTCCACAGTTTATTGTGATCCACACAGTCAAAGGCTTTGGTGTAGTCGATAAAGCAGAAATAGATGTTTTTCTGGAACTCTCTTGCTTTTTTGATGATCCAGTGGATGTTGGCAATTTGATCTTTGGTTCCTCTGCCTTTTCTAAAACATCTGGAAGTCCACAGTTCACGTATTGCTGAAGCCTGGCTTGGAGAATTTTAAGCATTGCTTTACTAGCGTGTGAGATGAGTGCAATTGTGCAGCAGTTTGAGCATTCTTTGGGATTGCCTTTCTTCGGGATTGGAATGAAAACTGATCTGACCTCAAATACCAGCTGGCACACACACCCAGGACACCCCCTTAAACAGCTAAGCCAATGTGGGATTAGGAACCTGGAAAGGCAGGGGTTGAGGGGGCCTAAAGCTGGGAAGGCAGATGTAACCCCTGGTTCCCATGGCCTCCCACTGAGCAGGTGGACAACCCCTCCCCCATGCTGGCAGGAGGTCAGAAGTTAACCCTCAGGGAAGCCTCACCAGAGAAGAAGCAGGCTTAGGGACACAGGTCCACAGCAGGGCTGGAATGAATGTGGAGATGTGGCTGATGCGTCCTGAGACGTGATACCCTTCAGCGCCCGCCCACCCCCCACCCCCCACCCCCCTTCACTCAGTGCCCAGCTCCAGGGACCAGCAGTCAAGTCTGGACACCCACGGCAGAAGACAGGAGAAGTCTTCACTCAAGAACCCAAACAGCCCCCGAGAAAACACCTACAGACATCATAGGAGAGACTGACAGGGGTTCCCTGGAGCCATCCTCTGCTTACACAGTGAAGGATTTTCTGTTTGGACATGCTGAAGTCACACGTCATAGTCTCCTCTGCAGCTGAGTGTAGCTATGTGGTCACGAGTAACATGGATAACTTCTGTGGCGAGCATCTTAGACCATGGAGTTGAGGGAAACACCCTATGAATGGCAAACCTGGGAGTACTTGGAGCTCCAGCCCATGGAGCTGTCCTGTTATCCATGGACCACTGACACATGAGATGTCGAATGAGAGGAGAATACAACTCCCCCCTTGTTTAAACCACTGTCATTTTGGTCCTTGGCTCAGCAGCCAAGCCTGTACCTTAACTAATGCAGCTGAAGACAACTGGGAGGCCCCCAGCAAACGGGCCACCGGGGACCTGACTGACCTACCTGGCATTCAGAGTCTCCCCACCCCAGTCGTAACACAAAGAGTCTTCTACTGTCTTTGAGTGATCTGTAAATAACTCCCACTGTTTGACTGTGTGAACTATGTACATATGGAATTTATCGTTAGACACATTTATTTGGTTTTGATTCTTTGGTCAGACCCATGTGGCTTGCAGGATTTTAGTTCCCTGACCAGGGACTGAACCTGGGCCCTTGGCAGCAAAAGTGAAGAGTCCCAACCACTGGACCACCAGGGAATTCCCTCGGAGTTCTAATTTAAAGTATATTCAAACTGCGAGATATGCTGTTGTCAATAACCTCTTATTTATGGTGTGCAGAACCTGAAGGAGGAGAGTGGCCTTTCATTAAGGGTTTTCCTATAAAATACTCCATGACTATAAAGCATTTCCTCACTTCATAAGTAACCTTACTTTTGCTCTTTAATCATGGTTGTACTTCTAGAAGGCATCACCACTAGATACTACATGAAGAGTCATTTACCTTGAAAAATGTTTTAAGAAAAAGATGGCTATCTTTTTTTTTTTAAAGAAAAAGATGACAACACTGGTCTCCTGAAATAAACAAGGCTAATCAATACATGCTAGAAATGCTGCAGACGAATCTCCGGGTCTTACATTTGGTGATGGCTCTGTCCTTTCGTACTGTATCTCTTCTTTCCCGTTTTCACCTGACTGCGTCATATGGTATGATCTGCCTTCGATGAAAGTGATGTAGTCTTTGTAAGAGCAGAGTGGGCCTGCCAGGATACCCATGAAGTTACAGTTGTAACTTAAATACTCCAGAAGGCTGGGCATGCGCCTGCAACAAAGAGACACGCTATGTGTAAGACAGACGTTTGCTTTGTGAAAATGCAACAGGAGTGATCAGCTTCAACCTCGACTCCTCCTACTATTTCCAAAATAAAGCAAGCTGTGATTTTCATCTGCCTCCAAACAATAAGAATCTAAAGGTTCAGGGTGAAGGAATGCTCAGTGGTGTTTCTGGATAAAAGAGTTTCCATCTGGGTCTTTATGAGCCATGGCAAATGGTTTCTATCTGATTTCCTCATGAAACAAAGTCAAGGTGGACAAGATAGGGCAGAAGATTAATCTCTTACTAGTCACTCTACTCACTTGCTTAACAAATCTATGCGTGCCCATGCTCCTGGGTCTAGAGACACAACAGTAAATACCACAGGGGGCATTCTGCAGTCAGAGAACTTATGCAACAGCTGCAGAAAATCAACAATCAAAAAACAAAGTAATTTCAGACAGCTAAGTGCTACAAGGGGAAGGGGGCATTTTATCAACAAGCCAGGAAGGCTCCTCTGATCAGGAGATGAGTAAGGGAGTCGTGTGAATGTCCAGAACCAGGACTCCAGGCATAGGGAGCAAAGAGCCGGGGCAGGTCCAGCTATAGGGAGGCCAGTGCAGCTGGAGGCGCTGAGCTGGGGAGGCAGGCGGGACAGGTGTCAGTACGCCGAGGTGGGGAACACAGGGCCTGCCTTACAAGCCATGGTGGGAGCTTCAGATTTTATTCAGAAGGTGCTGAAAAACTACAGTGGTGGTTGTGGTGATGGTGGTGTAGGGGCTCAGTCATTTTGCGACTCTGTGCAACCCCCGTGGACTGTAGCCACCGGGCTTCTCTGTCCATGGGATTTCTCAAGTAAGACTACTGGAGTGGGCTGCCATTCCCTTCTCTACTACAGTAGGGTTTTCAATACCTATGTTTTCAAAAGAACCCCTCGAGCCCCTGTGTATGGATAAAGGAGGGTGGAGGAGGGGCCACCAGGCAGGAGGATGTGGGATCCAGGCGGAGGTGACAGGGCTGGATCCATGCAGGGGACAGCGTCTGAGTACAGCCTAGCAGCACAGCCCTGGGGTCTGCTGATGGATGGGGGTGGGGAGCGAGGGAGAAAGGAGTCAAGGCTGTCTCCCAACATTTTTAATTCAGTTGCTCTCAGGTCTGTCCAAATGGCACACAGTATCTAAAGTTTACCAAGCATTCCAGTTCTCGATGCAGGAAACCCAGAGAAAACCAGTAACACAGGACACTATGAAAATGCATCAGAAGTGTATATTTTTTATACCTTAAAACCACCTCTGGGACTTACCTGGTGGTCCAGGGTTAAGAATCTGCCTTGCAATGCAGGGGATGAGGGTTCAGTCCCTGGCCAGGGATTGAACTAAGATCCCACATGCCATGGAGCAACTAAGTCCCTGGACCACAACTAGAGATCCCACATGCTGCAACGAAGACCCACCACAGCCAAATAAAAAAAATATATATATATATATTAAAAAAAAAAAAAGCTCCATCTGTCAAGTCTGCCATTCAATGACAACTATTAACCACCACAAAAGAGCAACTACAGCTGGGGATGATAAGGAGGCTCTTAAACATGTTATAGCCCATCTGCCTCTCTAAGATGACATGTGATCTCCTAAAAAAAATATGCAAACACTCTCTATGGCCAAGAGGAGTCAACAGAACCTCTTCATAAATGTTTTTATAAAAATAAAACAAAGAGAAAACAGTGCTCTGGTCCACCTGACACTCAGCTAGGTCACCACTTTCTCAAAATGCCTTTTAAATTTTTCTACATTTTGTTGTTGTTGTTTAGTCACTCAGTCATGTGCAATTCTTTTGTGACCCATGGTCTACAGCCCTCCAGGCTCCTCTGTCCATGGGATTTCCCAGGCAAGAACACTGGAGTGGGTTGCAGTTTCCTTCTCTAGGGGATCTTCCCAACCCAGGTTATTGAACCCACTCTTGCCTGGCAGGCAGATTCTTTACCACTGAGCCACCTTTCTACATTTCAAAGTGTTTAGAACCTTAAGTATTTTTTCTTGAGGGCTCAAGAGTGATGAGAGCAAGGTGTTTCTGGCAGATTTTCCCTCGTAGTTCTTCCCATGCTGGGCCGAGATAGAGACTTTATCACCACCTCACACACAGCACAAGTGCCCCGTCACCACAAAGCTGCAAAGAGCCCGTTATGCTCCAGCAACAGAGCCTCATTTTCCACACTGCTTATTTCAAGACCAGAACAACACCAAGTTATCTAAGCCATAGCTCATCTTACCACATCCAACAATGTATCACAATTTGGAAGGACGGGAGATAATTCTTATCTATTAAACTTGCTGAAGTCGTTTCTGGCTCAACTGTCATATCAAACGACAAGTCATGTTAGGAAAGAAGCTGATAACTGTAACACATGCAATTAAAATTCGAACTGAGCATAACTGTAATACTCTAATTATGGTATCAATGGAAGACTCATTTTTCATTCCATAAACATTGATTTGCTATCAACTGTGTGTGGAAATGTGAGAGAACTGTGGGCAACAATGAGCTCTGTGATTTTACGTTTGGGTAGCAAATCTGAAAGGAGTCCTCGCTGCTTCCTCCCACTGCTCAGACAAGCAGAGAGTTGAATTTAACCAGCTCTGGGATCTTGCCAGGCGGCCACCTGGGAGGGAAAGCGGAGACCAAGGCTGAGTGTCTATTAACGAGCAGTTCCTGTGATGGACAAGGACTCAAGATGGATCACAGAGCCCAGATCAAGCTAACCTCTCACCAAACAAATAAATTCAAGTGCATATTTACTGATCTATAAAGACTGGCTGTAGTGAACATCAGAAGAGAGTAATTTTAAAGATGGGGAAAGTATAAGAAGATTCTCAAGACATACGACCTGGGATCAAAGGTGAGCACTTCAGGCAGGACCTCCTACTACACAATCCCCTTCGTTTGACAGCCATGCATATATTAGTCCCAGATTTACAGGAAACAAGGTGCTTGCAGGATGCTTTTCTTCAAGTAAAATGAGTACCTTATCTCTAATTACATTAGATTAAGGCAGGCCCCGCCAAGAAATTAAGCTAGTCCTTAGATGAATCCATGGGGGACCACAATAAATGACAGAGCAGTCTATCACAGAAGGAATTCCTCAAATAGCAAGGTGAATATCCTGCTCGTTCTTCATTATTTCAAAACACAACATCTTTGTGCTGTTTTAACATATTGCAGCCTAGGACCTGCTATCAAGTCATTGGTCTACAAATGGTAGCTGCAATTATTACTCATAATTACTACATGAAGACCATGCAGACTTCCTGTCTTCGGGGGAACTCAGAGCCTCTCAGGAGTCAGGATATGGTACACAGGAGGTGCACACTGTATGATGATAGTATTCAGTGGGTGCCTATGAAGGCAGGCCTAGCCCAGCCAGACTTGCTGCAGAGGGAGCAAGTTCCCGTGGTTCCCGTGAAATAAGAGCCTTGAGGAGGACAAGTCAGCCTTGGCCTTGAGTACACAGGTGTCCTGGCAGAGACAGCGGGGACCTTGGCAGGAGACGATTTATAGGCATGTACCTGACTGCTAACCCCCTCTGTGACGGAGTCAGCTCTTCATCCTTCCGAAACATCCCTGAGAAATAAAAACAGACAATTTATCAGTTACGCTTTCTCCCAAGAAAAGAAGCGTACTTCTTCCCTTGCATCACTTTCCTCATTTGAAATTCATGCCAAAATCCCAATTTTGGTATAACTGGTATAACTGGTCCCTTTCTTTCTCATTACAGCACAGGCTCTGTCACTGAACTGAATGCAAAATTAAGAATAAACAGTAAAGGAAAATGAGCACACTTTAGAAACCTTAGTGTTAGTCACTCAGTCGTGTCCAATTCTTTGTGACCCCATGGACTGTAGCCCACCAGGCTCCTCTGTCCATGGGATTCTCTAGGCAAAAGTACTGAGTGCGTAGTCATTCCCTTCTCCATGGGATCTTCCCAACCCAGTGATCAAACCCATGTCTCCTGCATTACAGGCAGATTCTTTACCATCTGAACCACCAGGGAAGCCAAAGCAGAATTCAGTATTTTTCCTGTTTTCCCTCCCTCCATTTCCTTCCTCTAACAAACAGCAGAAAGTTACGGTAATCTCTCAAACAAAAGGTGGTTAGAATATGGCTTTTTCAGTGATGAAAGATTAATTTCCAAATTCTTACCATCATGAATTTCATAAGCCAAACTAGTGATCTTCTGGGTAATTATCATCATTGGGCTGTGAAAAAAAAAACAAAAAATAAATATTTTAAAAGCAGAAATTTAAAATAATACTTATGATATATGAAAGAGTTTATTCTGCTTATATGACTGCAAAATCCTGAAACTTTTTTAACGTAAAAAAGACCCCAAGGGATTCTGAAGACAGAACTCCAGGGCTGCTGAGTCTGGGGAAGGGACGGAAGACAGGGAATCTGGGCTTTCTGCTTTGCTTTAAGAGGAGGCTTGTCCTCTACAGGAGACTCTGGGGATAGGATTTCAACATATCTTTTAAGAGGGCATAATTCAACCCATAATGCTGAACCTGAAGCTCCAATACTTTGGCCACCTGATGCCAAGAGCCGACACATTGGGAAAGACCCTGACGCTGGGAAAGACTGAGGGCAAGAGCAGAAGGGGACGACAGAGGATGAAACTGTTGGATGGCATCACCGACTCAGCAGACATGAGTTTGAGTAAGTTCCAGGAGATACTGGAGGATGGAGGAGCGGGGTGTGCTGCAGTCCATGGGGTCGCAAAGAGTGGTACACGACTGAGCAACTGAACAACCACCGGCATGAGATACACAGAGCTCGGCCCCAAGAACTTGCAGGTCACTCCCCCTCACCTAACCGACAAGATCTCATAGAAACCCTGTCACACGACGACTGCTCTTAAAGTACCAGCAGGAGAATCTTCTTCTTCGGTTCCCTTCAAAGTCCGTTCCTAGGTGAACACCACTCTCTCTCGGGAGATTATCCCTCAGCCAAACGCTCCCCCAGGCTGCTTTCAACAGCCAGCTGCCGTTTTAACCTTGGAAGATAGTTTACATGCCTTCGAGGATTATAAAAAATGCCTTAAAACTTCGATTTTCCCAGGGGAAAAGAATAATTTTTCTCACCTCCTTAAATTCATTTCACAGTTTAGCTCAAAAAGGAAAAAAGAAAATACCCTTCGCTCTGGATTTTAATTCTCACATCACCTTAGAACATCATAAAAACCACCAATAAAATAATAAATTTATTTTTCAACTCAGTGACATACTAAACCGCTCAGTTCGTGTGTATGAGATGTTCCCCAAAGGCAAATATTAATACGTGCTTTCTGCATGTATGCTCTCATTGTGCCCACTGGTCACCTGGCAGACCCAGGTGTGCAGAGTGCAGGCTCTCATGAAAGTGAGCTGAGCTGGGGGACTGGGTGCTACGAGGCTGTATTGCTGGGTCTAAGAACTATGCTCCCTCACGGGGGTGGAAAGAACATGGAAGTGGGGTTTCCCCAGTTTGGCTCAGTGGTAAAGAATCTGCCTGCTGTGTAGGAGACACAGGTTCGATCTCCGGTCTGGAGAAGATCCCACATACCACATGGCAACGAAGCCTGTGTGCCATGACTACTAAGCCTGTGATCTGCAACTAGAGAAGTCCTCACAATGAGATGCGTCCTCGCAATGAGAAGCTCGTGCTCCACAGCTAGAGAGCAGGCTCTGCTTGACACAACTAGAGAACAGCCCACGAAGCAATGCAGACCCACCACGGCCAAACATACACAGATAAACAAATACTAAAAAGAAGGAGAAGAAAAAGAAGGCGGAGCACATACAAATACTCCACTCTGTCCAAACGCTGGCCTCCACCCAGACCACACTCCCTGGAGCTGCTATGCAAGGGCGGCTCATCTCCTGCTTCAAGTCTCAGCCTAACAGTCACCTTGCACAAGAGGTCCGTGGGCAGCTGTGCCCCCAGGAAGCCACCTCTGCCCAAATGGGACACACACCTTTCACTTCATCTTAGCTTCCTGCTTGCTTTCTTCAAAGAATTTCTCATACTCACGGATGCTTCATTTACCCAGTTACGGAAGGGCTTTAAAAGCTGTCTTCACTCTTTCGAAGGTTCATGCGATAGGGAGCGAATGGTCTTTTTCACCACTGACCGTCCAGAGCCGAGCAAACTGCCTGGCACAGGATATGTTCTGGGTGACTATTTCCAAAATACCACATAAACCCAACTTTCTGAGTGCCCACTCAAGATCTATCACTCCTTATGTAAGTTGATTAGACTCCCTCCCTCATGTCCACTCTCCTCTGTGCTTGAAAACAGTCACCAGGCTGTTCTGTAATTATTGGCTTATTTTTCGATCACCACGAAACTCACGGACTACTTAACAGCAGGAACCCTGCCCTATTCACCTCTGCACCTTTGGTACCTGCTGAGTGTGTATGTGTGTGTGTGTGTGTGCGTGTATGCACGCATTCAGTCGCTGAGCTATGTCCGACTTTTGTGGACCACATGAACTGTAGCCCACTAGGCTCCTCTGTCCATGGGATTCTCCAGGCAAGAATACTGGGGTGGCTTGCCATTTCCTTCTCCAGGAGATCTTCCCAACCCAGAGATCAAACTGATGTCTCCTGCACTGGCGGGCGGATTCTTTACCACTGTGCCACCTGGGAAGCCCTACCTGCCAAGTAATTGGGCTCAAGGTTCTGACTGGTTTGCAAAAACGTCTCACATCACCTACTGTTTCCTTAACAGATAATCATTAAGCCCGAACATTTCCTTTGGTTTTAAAGGGGTGGTCATTCCACAGCCTCTGGTCCAACCTGTCATGGGCTGGGGTCAGGGAGTGGTGAATGTGAGAATAAAATGACAGAAGACAAAATTATCGCGGAGTGACTGTGAAGGAGTATTTGATAAATGAAAGTAAAAAAAGTTTGGCACAGGACAAACAGACTCATGAGAGATCAGGAGAGTCAAGCTGAGGGGAAGGTGGTCAGACGAGTCTAGCACAGGCACAGGACAGAGACCAGGAGACAGAGCAGATTGAAAAGGGAGGAGGGCTGGCCTCACCCATCACACAGAACCTCCTGTGCAGAGAAGACGCTTCTGAATGAAAACACTCCCACAGTTCACGAAGAGACCAGCTGGGGTGATTTTCCTAACAGTGCATTGTGCTCATAAATACCTGAATGGGGACAATCTGGAGTGACTCACACAGTTTTCACTTACACCTTTATTGACATTTTAACTACCTGTTGGCTTTGCATTCACTATTTAATCACCTTCTTGGTCCTAAAAAGTCTGAGCCAGCCCTATGTGAACCAGACTCTCCTGTTTCCCTGGGGTGGAGGCTGCGAGGCGGACGGGAGAGGGCAAGCAATTGGTTTCCCTGCCTCCATCAAGCAAAGAGGGGCCTGGATGGAGCCACCTGTACCTTCTGCGCAGTGACATCGCTAGATTGAGGTGGAGTTACAGACACTCTCCCCCAGCACTCTACTTGGAACAGGAAAAATATGGAATCTAGCTATTTAAAATAAATACTCAACTGATAAAACAGCTTCAGGTAATATAAAAAAATATATACCCATCTGATGTAAAGAACTAAGAGACTCTAGACTTCTTATAATTTTTTTAAAAGATACAAATTAACTTTCTTATTATAACTAAAACATTTACATGTCATCTTTTTTTCTCTACAATGAGTGAGAGTTACAGGATTTGGTTCTGCCATGCGGTCAAACTCAAACTCTAGGTAAACATCACTAGAGAATGAATGCTGAAAAAGAACAATCTCTTTCTGAATTGTTCTGTCATCTCTAAGAGACTGCTAAACTCTAAGGATACTGCCACAAAGCAACTGTGAGCACCCACTAGATACAAGCGGAGAAAGAAATGGCAACCCGCTCCAATACTCTTGCCTGGAAAATTCCATGGATGGAGGAGCCTGGTGGGCTGCAGTCCATGGGGTCGCAGAGTCAGACACAACTGAGAGACTTCACTTTCTTTCTATAGTTTCTTTTAGAGAAGGAAATGGCAACCCACTCCAGTGTTCTTGCCTGGAGAATCCCATGGACATAGAGGCCTGGTGGGCTGCTGTCTATGGGGTTGCAAAGAGTCGAACACGACTGAGCAACTAACACATATACACACATAAACCCACACACTAGATAAAAGGTCAGCATGCCACCAGGATACAGGGACCTGACAAAAGAGCAAACTGACCTGTCCGCTTTCAGGCATGTCTAAGTGCTTAGGGGCTTGTCTGCAAACAGCAAAATCCGCTGAAACCAACAAACCCCTCAAACCTAAAGCCTAAGGAATGCACCATGAGAGGGGAGGAAAAGGCTTCCGATAGCCATCCAGCCAGCCAGCCAGCCCCTTCACTTGCTCATTTTGAAAACAAGCATCTAATGAGCGCCTACAAGGCACCAGGTGCTGGAGACACAGCTGTGAACGAGACAGGGTTCTCATTCGTGTACAGGGGAGGGAGGGATAACAACTGAACTTAGAGGTAAACATGCGGGGTGCCAGCTGCTGCTGTGTGCTGAGCAGAAGAACAAACCAGGGTGGGGAGAGGAGTGCCAGGATGCCGGTGGGGACTGGCCTCACCCAGGGGCGACGCTTCACGGAGAAGTTGAGTCAGGGACCCAAGCCCCGCAGAGGCAGGCTCACCAGCACCCCTGCCCAGGTGGTGGGCACTGAGACTGACTGGGAGCCTAGTGAGGATGGGGATGTGGCTGGAGCCAGTGAGTAAAGACAGGACAGATGCTGAAGACAGAAGCATCGGGATGGTCAGAGTTAGGAGGCTCCTGCAGGGACTGTGAGGACAGGGCTGAGACCCAAGAGAGACTGGGGACCATGGAGGGCAACAGGCAGGCCACTCATTAGGTTTTAATGGGTATATTTGCCCCTGGGTAGAGAGGGCTGTGGGGTGCTGGGGGGCAAGAGGCAGGCGAGGATGGCATCTCAGGGCAGGATGACAGCACAGACCCTGCGTAGTGCATCCCAGTCGTCTTCTGATGGCAAAGACAGCGGGACCCGATGATGATTCGACAGTGGATCAGAACCAGGGCTTGAGACCTGAGGCCACCAAGGGTTTTGACCAGAGGAAAGGAACAGAAAGACAGAGCTGGCTGGGAAGAAATGCAGGAGGAACAGGGCAGGGGCATCGGGAAGTCCGGGTCAGGCAAGTGCGAGATGCTGACTGGATAACCAGGCAGAGAAGTGTGGACAGGCAGCTGGACAC